GTCTCGGGGCTGGAGAGATGGCTCAGTGGTTAAGAACACTGGTTGTTCTTGCAGAATACCCAGGTTCGAATCCCAGCACCCACATGGTAGGTAACAACTGTCCATAACTCCAGTTCCAGGGGATCCAACAGCCTCTTCTGTCCTCCGTGGGCTTTGCACGACACAGGTGCACTTACCAACATGCAGGCAATACACGCATACACATAAAATAAAAATGATAAAATTTTTTTTTAAATGGTGTCTCATTAAGAAACAATCTCAGCAATGGTGCTGGAGAAGATGGCTCACCAGTTAAGAACACTGGCTGCTCTTATAGAGAGAGAACCTGGGTTCAATTCCCAGCTCCCACACAGCGGCTAACAATCGTCCATAACTCCAGTTCCAGGGGGCTCCAACACCCTTTTCTGACATCCATGGGTATTGCATACATGTAAGCAAAACAGTCATACACGTAAAAATAAATTTTTCAAAAAATCTCAGCAATGGTAAATTGTTGAGTGATTTGGAATACTTCACTAAGTTTGCCTCTTTAAAACAATCTTAAACCAAGTACAGTGGCTCATGCCTGTAATCCCAGCACTGAGTGGCTCAACCAGGAGGATTTCAGTAAATTCAAGGCCAGCCTGGACTACTGAGTGAAGCTACTCTCTTAAAAGAATAAAAACCTTGGGACTGACTAGATTGCTCAGTGGGTTAAAGTACTTGGTACCATCTGAATTTGATCTCCTGAACCTATATGGTAGAACTCTTAATTCCTAAAAGTTGTCCTCTAGGTGGCACATGACTTTAATCCTAGCACTCGGGAGGCAGAGGCAGGTGGATTGCTTGTGAGTTCAAGGACAGCCTGGTCTACATAGCAAGTTTTTGGTCAGCTGGGGCTACAAAAAAAAAGTCCTCTGACCTGTACACACCATAAATTAGTAAACAAAGAAAATCTGTTCTTAGGCCCTATTTTTGCTTGCAAATTTAGTAATAGATATGCAAAAAACATGAGTATTCATTTTTCTGTGAATATAAAAGCTACTAGAGGTTTGTTTGGTGTTATGGGAAGAATACCACAATCAGCACTCAAGATGTTGAGACAGGACGGTCACTGCAAGTTTGAGTTGAGGCCAGCCAAAGCTACGTAGCAAGACCTTGTGAATGTGAAGACTTCTGAATGTGAATATTGCTTTTTCAGATAGCACATTTGTGGATAATCATCTCATCTCAAGCAGTAAAGATTGAAGCTTTGCTCGGAAACATCCAGATAAGTGTTGTTTTCCACAGAGAACAAAGTCATACCTACAGTTTGATTTCCTCTCAAAATGAGGTTGCACAAATTAATTTCTGTTTCAGTTTTTTTTTTGCGGCGGGGGGGGTTGGAAATATATGGGAATATACATTTCCCATAGATATAGTATTTTTCTACTGCATATCTGGTTTCCTAGTATCAAATATGGAAATACTGTTTGTTTTGCTTTGCAGTACCAGGAATCAAACCCAGACACTCGTGCATACCAGGGGAGTATTCTACACTGAGCTGTACCCTCGGTCCTGGGAATGCTTTGTAAAAAGAGAAAGTGCTAAGAAAAAAGAAAAAAGGCATATTATAACCTGGTGTGATGGCACATGCCTATAATCCTAGTACTTGGGAAGCTGAGGTAGGAGGAGGTAGGCTTTGATCTAGGGCTGGAGAGATGACTCAGCAGTTAGCACTGACTGCTCTTGCAGAGGACCCGGGTTCGATTCCCAGCACCCACATGGTAGCTAACCATCTGAACTCCAGTTCCAGGAGAATTCAACCCCTTCTGAGCTTCTTGGGCATTGCACAACATGAGTGCACTTACACACATGCAGGCAATACACTCATACCCACAAAATAAAAATAATAAAATATTTTTTAAAAAGAAGTATAGCATATAGCATTTGGGTGACTCAGTAAAGTTTTTGTCCTGAAAGCATGAGAGCCTGAGTCCCTAGCACCAAGTAAAAGCCAGGAATAGGCATGTTTGCTTTAATCCTAGTTCTGGGTAGGTGGAGACTGGCAGATCTCTGGGATTTGCTGGCCAGCCAGCCTAGCCCAATCTGTTGAGACAGGGTCTCCCTGAGCCCCAACTGGCCTGGAACTCCCTATTGTAGACCAGGCTGGCCTTGATCTCACAGAAATCCACTTGGCTCTGTCCCCTGAGTGCTGGGATTAAAGGTGAGCATCACCACACCCGGCCTGTTTCGTTTTTTTTTTTTTTTTAATTTATTTTTATTTATTTATTCTGTATGCGTATATTGCCTGCATGTCTTTTTGAGACAGGGTCTCCCTGTAACCCCAGCTGTCCTGGAACTCACTATGTAGACCAGGCTGGCCTTGAACTCAGAGATCCGCCTGCCTCTGCCTCCCGAGTCCTGGGATCAAGGGCATGCACCACTGTGCCTGGCCTCTGTATTTTATTTTTTAACATAAGGATCTTGTGTACCTCAAGTTGGCCTTGAACTCCTGATCCTTCTTCCTCTACCTTCTAAATGCTAGGGTTCCAGCTTATTTATTTTGAGACAGGGTCTCCACAGGTAACCTAGGCTGTCTGTGA